TGTTACATAGCTAGATACTAGGGTTCTTATTAAAAATTAAAACTTAGAGAAGCAAAACCTCCACGCACCTGGAAGCCAGCTACAGCAAAGTGCACAGAGGCGTTTCAGAGAAGGCGCAGATGGCTCAGCCCGCTAGACTGGCTGTAAAGTCAGATCCTGGGAGACAAACTCTGAAACCTCCAAGGAGCTGAGGAAGGATGCATCAGTGCCAGCTAGAAGGCTTTCCTCAGCGCTTTAACAGGGCTGAGAGGATGGCCCAAAATGAATGGGGAGCGCTGGCAGGGAGATCCCACTCCCGGTGCAAGGAAGGCCTTTCCCAGGAGCGCTTCACATTGCTGCCATGGTAAGACACGCTCCTCACAGCACTGTACGGCTGCTGCGTGCTCTGAAGCTCCCAGAGCTTCAGCAATCAAGTCATTGCTCTCAAAGAGCCTGGAGTAACACTGGCCAACCCAAGGCTGCTGTAATCCAGGCACAGCTTGCTCGTTTGGCCCCAGCAGCAGCCCAGAACTGCTGGATAACACACACCCGCTGCTGTAGAGGAGGCAAGTACCTTGCAACTCACTGCCTCCTCACAGCACGACTTTTCAACAGTCACCCTTGCCTTCACCTGGGAGCTGCTTCCAAAGCTCCCCCGGTCTAATTAAGCGTGCGGCTGCCCTGTATTTGAAGGCTTTGGTGCTCAGCCCCTGGCTGACTGCCCCAGGCAGGGAGCAGACACGGCTCCAAAGCGGACGAGTAGTGAGTGCGTTGCCATGAGAACGCTGCAGGTCTTCCGCTGTTTTCCGAAGCAGAGCAGGGAAGGAGATGCATTTGGAGAGTGGGAGCAAACCTGGGGGCGGATTCAGACAAAAATAGGAGCAACCCAGAGGGAGCAGCAACTAGGAAGCGAGGGCAGCTTAAATCAGAATGACTAGTGCAGCCTGAAATCAAGAATGGGGACCCTGATGGCTGGGAAGCCAGACTGGGTATGAAAGGATGAGGCAAGGAGGACGTTAAGTCAGGGGCAAAAGATACCCGAAAGGCCTCGTTTTGTGTAGTCTGGACTCGAAGAGCTGAGGACAAAGAAGGTAAGTCAACTAGAAGCAGTATAGCCAAGAGGAGCTATTCCTGAATTACAGATTTGGGAAGCAGCATCAGGATTTGGGGAGGGTCTGGAGTAGGAAGTAAAAGCAGGAACCAGAGCAGCTTGGAGGCCTTAGCCCGGACAACAAGCCTGCAACGTAAGCAAAGAAACCGCAGCCACTTACACACAAAAGCAGGAGAAAGGACAAGCACAGGCAGCGCAATTCCTGGGAAAGGGTGCGAGTCACTGCCCGTAACTCCTCACCATTACAGCTAACATGGGATTTGTCAACTGGTGTGACCTGGGGGAGCTGGGACGTGGATTTGACTGGTGTGCCGGACAGAAGGGAGTCACCACCTCCACGCAGCACAGCACCACTTGCTGCTTTTGCCTGCCGCTCCACCAAGCTAATCCTTCGCAGCAGGCAGACGCTGCAGTTCCACACTAACAAGCGTTGGCCGTGGAAATCAGCCAAGATAAACTCAGGCAAAAGCCAGGGCTTTTTAAACCTATGGAGCCAAGAATCCACCACCCAGCTCCTACCACACCAGCAACCCCCTTAGGTACAGGGCCAGCCTGCACTCTCTGCTGGTGAGGGATACTCCAATACATTGGACTGGATTCTGCCCCCCCCCCCCC